AGTCCAGGTAACCAAGAAAATGCCGATTAATACTATAAAATATTTCACATCCAGCTTGATGTTTAAAAGTCTGAAAACGACAAGTTTTAGTAAAAATGTGGGGAGCCAGACCTCTCTAACAAGGAGGCATGAGAATTGGCACAGCTGATTTAGGAAGCAATGTAGCAAAGTATATTAAAGTAGAAAACTGGCTCATGTACAACTCAACAGTTCACTTTTAATAGAGTCTCCAGAGTGCCTGCCTCTCCACGGCAAGGGGGGTCGAGGCATCTTTGCGCCACTGTCATAGCAACAAAGTTGGGGAAACAGACATTTATCATTAGAGAAGCCACAACTTACGGTTTAGTCATGCAACAAAAGTAATGTATTAGCATGAATAAGGCTTTTAAAAATACACTGATTTTTAAAAAGTTGTAGAGGCTATTTAGACAAGAAGGTACAAATAAGGTAATATCTGAATACAAATATCACATCAAATATCAATTAGGGTGTCTAGTAGTGGTCGCCTTTGTAAAAGGACAGAGGAGACTGCGGGATGGTTATATATAAAACTAACATTTAGATCTGTCCATTTTAAAACTTCTGAAGCGTATTTATAAAATCTGGTTCATAATATACATGACCTTCAACTTTTAAAACGTTTCAGTCTTGTGAAAGAATGTGTGATGGGGTCAAACATCCTTTTCAATCCTTTTTCCTGATCATATCACAAATTAATCTGAAATTGACTTGAAAAATGATTTTAGTTTAGAAATTTGAGTTGATATGCTTCATTTCAAGAATATACCTGTTCCACAAACTGGCAATTTTATACCACAGACTCTAAATCCTAATACATGCTCCAAAAAGACTACCAAGTAACCAGGATTTAAAAACCAAAACAGCAAAGCCAGGTTCTCAGCCGACGCTCAGATTCATATTAACGTGACTCTCACAAGAAATGCTTGCATGTGACCTGAATTTAACTGCACCATTGCAAAGACAAAACAAGCCATCTTTCAGTCAAAGTACAGAGCAGTGCTCACCAAGCTCTACTGAGGGAAGATCAACACTTCCAAGAACGGATCTTCTAAAAGGATGAGGGAGGTCAGAGCTTCTAGATCAACGTTGGTCTGATAAGACTCCCCAATTTTTTAAGCAGTTGCCTAGAAGCTGAGCTGGTGATACAGCCTTGGGATAACATAAAAGCTTAAAGGATAAAAAAAAAATCAAGATGATGCTGAATTATTTGGCTCCCCCATTCCATCTGTCAGGGGGAGGCAAGGTATCCTGGGCCTTAAGGGAAGCGCGAGGAAGCAGGATGAAAAATGACCTGGACAAAGTCAAGAGGATGGAAACGGCAGCCTGCTGGAAAGCACCACCGTGCATGTTTCAGTCAGCAAATAAGGTTTCTTTGAACTGCACCACCTTTCTGTTTAAAGCCAACCTTAATTACAACCCCACCGCTATGGACATTGCAGTTATGCCAAAGAAAGAGACCATGGGTTACGAAAGGTTCCTGCACTGAGATTAAGGACTGGTCTCCATGGCAAGCAGCCTACGGCTGGCCCTGTGTCGGCCCCTCAGTAGACGCCGACCGGCTATAGAGTGGGGGTCAAAACAGTCTGACCGCGAGACCTGCCACAGGAACTGCAGGAGACAGTGTGTGCAAAGATCCTGGGGCAGCTGCCCCCACCCAAGCTTTCAGTAAATGTCTTAGATGTTTCTATGTACCATTATGCAAACTTTAGCTTTAATAAAAACTTTACTAAGCACACACACAAAGAAACAGCTACTAAAAATGTACAGAAACCATTTCCTAAAGCAGTTTATCTAGATCATATCCATTTCCCTTTCTCAATCCCCGAGAACTGATAATTAAAGACCATGTACATACTGCAGGGCTGCCTGACACGGCTCCCAGTGGGCTGCCAGCCAAAGGGCTCGAGGGCAAGTCATTTGGCACAGAAGAAACATGTGAAAATGTTTCTCACACCTGTCTTTATAAATCATCGATACTGCAGGAACATTGTAGTTTAAAAAGGCCACTGGAGCACACTCTGAGACAAAAACATTTTTTTTTTTTTGCAAATGTAATGAGTTCCTTACAGCATCATCTACACCATGAAGAAAGATGCTTATCTTCTTCAGATGATGTAGTTGCATTCCTTAAAAAAATAATCTTTACAGTTTCCGCAGCTGCAAAATCTATCTAATTGGGTATATGTTCATTTTGAATATTTATAGATTTTTAAAAGAAAGTTTTCAAACATTTTAAAATGGAAGTAATTTTTGTTTCCACAAAGAAGGAAGAGAAAGAGTCAAATGACAAGTGGGAGAAAGAAAACATGTCAATATGTAGAATGGGGCTGTAAAAGCCTGGGCTGACTTTTAAATATACATGGCGGAATCAGAGGCGTTTGTCTGTGTTCCTCCTGACACCCTACGGTCAAGGAATGATGGCAGTAATAACGGTAAACAAATAGGAGGTAACAGATAAAAGCAACAAAGCTTTGGAAGACAGAAAGGAGGGCAGAGAAGAGCTGGACCCGGCTGGCTGGACAGCTAGGAAGTCATCCCCAAGGTTCAGATGAATGAGTGAAACCCTGGAAAGGTCTGGAAAGGCGGGGTGCCAGGTATAAATAATGGATCTATTACCTGATGTGTTTGATGATACTGAAAGGTACTTAATTCCCTCAGAAGTAAAATAGATGTGTAGCGATACAAAGATACAGTGGAGCAGACATAAAAGAACAAGCAATTATCAACTCCAGGAAAACAGAAAGCTGCAGGAATCAGAGAACATTATGTGTCTCAACTGCGAACAAGACGGCAGTCCTCATCATGCAGACACAGAATGTTGATTTTATTTTAATTGTGGCAATACTGCACGGTGAAGTTGGGAAGAAGAGAATCCAGTATGGCGAGAGCAGAGTGAGTGAGGACAGACTGGTTCAGAAAAGAAAAAAAAAAGATTATAGAGCAAAACAGATTAAATTATCCAGAGATTTGGAATTTCTTTCCCAAGAGCCATAGAAAGCCCCTGGGAGTTTCAAAACAGGAAACCAGCAGGATCCAACTCATGATTGAAAATGCTGACTTTGGCTGTGGTACCAGGAATACACTGCAGGGGCTACAGGGGAGACACCCAAGGAGCCAGGGGCTCCTACGCTGGGGAGCAGAGGTGTCTGCAGAAGAGAGAAAAAGGAAAGACAAACGGAGGTGAGGAAGGCATGAGCACATGGAGATGTGTTCTGGAGGTTGTTGGCTCATGGGGGGACGGGCCTCCCAGGGATGACTGGCCTCCCAGGGATGACTTTCCAGGGTTAGCAGCCACGACCACAGACAGCAGAAATGGGAAAATTGGAGAGGAATGGATTCAGGGTGGAGGGTTTGGGCCCCAGGGCTCTGTGTTGGATCTGGTAGGGCAGATCCCTGAAGGGTACCAAGTAGGCAACGGTCCTGGCACAGAGGGTAACACCCTAGGCTGGAGAGAAAACAAATAAAACAGAATCTGCTCTGCCTTCAGTAGCAGCTTCTCTTGTCAACACGAAGAGAGCCCTCGCTGTATGTCTGGATTTTTAACCACCTCCATACCCGGACTGGAGACTTAATTCTGAGACTCCACAGGTCAGCAAGCAATGGGCCCGGGAATTTCGCAGCATCTGACTCATTCACAGTGTTTAGGCCTCGCGGGCTTCCTATTTTGAGTCCTATCTATCCTCTTTCCCCAAATCTGCAGCAAACAGGTGTCCCTCCCCCAATAATCTCCCACTACTGTCTGGCATTAGTGAATATTTGCCTCTAAAAAAACCACCCCTGCCGGTGGATTTGTCTCCGCGTCCGCCGCGCCTGGGTTTTTGAGAAGTTCTTTCTCAGCCAACAGCGAAAGGGCCGACTTGCAGAAGCGGTTTCCGGAGCAGGTGACCTGCGCTTCCACCCGCAGCTCAGGGGCCTGCCATCCGCCACCTGCTCTTCCTCGGGTTCCTCGCGGCTTCTGCGCTCCGCATGCACTTCTCCGGTCCCCCGACGCCCAGGCCCGCGTCTACACCCGCGGGGTCACGAGAACCAACCGGGCTGCGGCCCGGGTGCAGCAGACGCGGGGGCGGGGGCGGCCGGGGCGCCTGGAAACTAGAGGTGCCACGACGAGGGGACGACTCGCGACGCGGCCAGGTGTGGGGACAGGAGCGGGGTCCGCCCGGCTCTCCGGCTCCCGCCCGCCCGGCGCGTCCCCGCGGCCCACGGCGCCCCCAGCGGCGGGACGCGAACCGGCGGCCGCGGCCCGCGAGCTGCGAATGTTTCATTAGGCACCTGCCGGCGCGTCCTGGGCAGGCGAGGAGCCACAGGTGCTCTGGGGGCTGCACCTCGGGGATGCACACCTGGAGCGCCCCCGCGTCAGCTCCCGACGAGTCGCCGCTGGGCACAGGCTCGGCTAAGCCCGTGTCAGGGCGCAGGCCCGAGGGGGGCGGGGGACACCCTGGCGACCGGGGCGCGCCCCACCATCAGAAAGAAGAAAACTCCAGCTGGCGCGAGTCAGTCCAGGAGGAAATGGGAACCCGCGGCGCGCGGGCGGGGGCGGGGCCGGCTCACCTGCGGGGACGTGACCCCCAGGTGCGCGCGCGGCGCGGGGAGGGAACCCCCGAGGGCTGGCCCGGGCGTGGGGTGGGGATTGGCAGGGTCGGGGCAGGGGGCCCCGAAGTGCACCCTCACCGACACGTGCAGCTGTCAGGACGCTCGGACTCCCCGCGAGCGGCTCCGGGGCGGGCGCGGGGCGCCCCCGCCGAGGCTGCGCCGTCCAGGCTCCCGCGGGCGGGTTCTGGGTCCGAGCCAAGCGCCCCCTCCTCCCCGGGCAGCTGGCACCTGGGTGGGGGCAGGGTCTCCGCACGGGCGCCCGAGTCCTGGGGGCGCCACCTCGCGGGACACCCCGCCGCGTGCAGGGCGCGGCGCCCCGGGGGAGCCCCCGGGCGGCGGGCGAGCGCAGCGGGCCGGGCCGGAGCGGGCGCCGCGCGCGGGCGACTTACCTCGGGCGGCGCGGGGCGCCAGCAGGGCCCCGGCCAGGGCGAGCAGCAGGGCGCGGGCGGGGGGCGCGGGCGGCGGGCGCGCGGCCATGGTGGCCGGCCGGGGGTGCAGCGGCTTGGGGGGCGGGCGGCCGGCGCCGCAGCATCCCACGCGGGCGCCGAGGGGGCCGGGCGTGGCGGCCCGAGGGCTTCCTGCGCCGGAGTCCGCTCCGACCCCTGCGCCGCCGCGCGCGTCTAGGCTTTCATTTTGGAAAAGTTTCCCGTGCGCGCGCGCGCGTCGAGGGGGCGCGGGGCGCGGGGGCGCGCGCCGCTCTGGCACCGCCGCCGGGACCGCGGCGCGAGGAGCCCCAGCCGCGGGGAGCGGGGGGCCTGCGAGGTGGGTCCCGCCGACCCCGGCCCCGCGCCCCCGGGCGTCCCGCGGGTCCTAGAGCCCTCTCGGGGGGCCCGCCCCGCCCCGGCCGCGCGCCCCGGCACAGACGTGGCTCGGTGGTGGCGGCGCGGCGGCCGGAGCGCACCTCCCCGCCCCGGGATGATGTGGCCGCGGGGCCGGGCGGCTGCCAAGAGCACACGCGGCGGCCCCGTCCAGCCTCCAGCCCGGGCTGGAAACGATGACTGGGCGGCTCGCCCCGGCTCGCCGGAGCCCGCGGGGCGCGGTGGCGGGTCTGCGAGGCGGGCGCCCCGGCGGCCCCCGGCCCCCTGCGGCCTCTCCTGCCCGCGGCTCGGAGGGCACCGCGGGCCGGGCCGCCTGCGGCTGGGCAGCGCCCCGGGTGCGCTCCCGGCCCCAGGTGGAGAGCGGGGCTCGCGTGTCTTCGCCCCGGCCGCCTCCCAGAGAAGGGAGCAAGGCGAGGTTTCCGGGACTTTGCCATCATGAGGTGAATCTGGGTTAAAAATACAGATTCCAGGTGCCCCCCCTGGGAGACCTCCAGGCTGCAGAGCCCGGGCACGGGGTGGGGAGCACCCTCTCTCCAGGCCTGGCTCTGGCCTCGCAGCCTCTCCCCAGGCCCCGCGCCCCCAGGCCAGCGGTGAGGACACGTCCCTGTGTTGCCCTCTGGGGACCATCGAGAGCAGAGACGGGGCCACACAGACCCAGGATGGTCACCCCAACTCCACCCTCCCCTGGGGACTTACAGAACTCTAAGGGCTCAGAGAAAACCCACCCCTTCCAGGCTAACAGTCTCCCAGGGTGGGTGCTGCCCGGCCCCCTCAAAGCCCCAGGGAATCACCAACTGCACCAGGCCATGACAGCCTTAGAGCTCTGTCCCCCAAGGCCCACCCATTCCTGCAGAGCCCCCATGTCAGGGGCTGGCCTGTTATTTTAAAGAAAACTGCCCTCTCTGAGAAGGCAGGAAGTCCCTTCCTGCTGAGAAGTAGCCTTTCTCACTCCCTCCCACCTTAAGGTTTTTGGGGTTCCCAAGAACCAGAGAAGCCCTCTCAAGGAGGGCAGGCCTGCCAAACAACAAAAACAAAGCCAGAGGCCCAAAGGGCAGCTTCCCTGCCACCTGGGAAGGAGGTGTTGAAAGTCAGCAAACTTTTGGGGTCTCACAGTGAATTGTCTCCCACGTGCTCAAAATAGCAAGACACGGCTCCATCTCGGGGTGCCACAACAGGGCTTACAAAGGGAGATCGGGGTATGGCAAGAGTCCTAAGGCCACACATGCCCACTGCCCTACCCCACACAGTGTCCACAGTGTCCACTAGCCCAAACCAAAAGCTGTCCGTGCAAGGGGCACCATCCTCCAGGGAGAGCCGGGTACTGGGGGGCACAGGTCAGCCGTGCACCAGCATCACGGTGGTCACGGTGGTGCTGCTGAGGCCGCCCTGCAGCAGCTGCCCTCCTGATCTGGCCAGACTTTTGGAGCAAGCCGAGGTCTGTCTCCTCCCAGAGTCGGCCCCTCCCACCCTCTCCTGTGAGCACTGGGTTCCTCCAGGAGCTCAGCTTCTGCTTCTGCCCCCTCCAGGGGACCCGCCTGTCACACCTGATTGGTCCATTTCCCAAACCAGCTGTTCCCAGATGTGATTGGTTCCTGTGCTGCTTGACTCTGATTGGTGTCTGGGAGACCAGACCTGTTTGTCTGTTTTCAAAACCAGCTGGGGATTCAAACCCTGAGGGAGCTGGAGCTGAGCAGGCGACCTCTGCTGGCATCTGACTGTCTCTGGCCAGGTTCTAACCTGACCCACATGTCTCCAAAACTGCCATGATTCTCTCTCTCTGTCTCTCTGTCTCTCTCTCTCTTTTTTTCTAAAACCTATCCCAGGTGACCGTGGCCTAGTCTAGGCTGATGCCACTCAGCTGGGGTGCTGGCACCTTCAGAGGCCCCCAGAGGGGCGGGTCTGCTCTTACAGCGCAGGCCCAGGCTCTGGGTTAAGTCATCCCCACGACTGCCGCCTGCTGCCCCTTCTGCCGTTTCTCTGTTCCTTCAGTCACTCCATCGCGATTCAGTGGGGCTTTGGGGAACCAGACTCAGGAGAAAGGACTCTTGCCTTCAAAGCCTTTTCTTTCTGGCGGGACAACCTGAGCCACCAGGACCACTGAGCCACCAGGACTCACCTGTTCTGTGGCCGTTAGGTTACCTACATCCCTCACCATTTCCTGCTGGGTTAGTTCACTTTCGAACCTGGCCCAGCAGGGGAGCCTGCAGCGGCGAGAGGGAGGGCACTTTTCTTGGGGCCCCACAGCCATGTAGCCAGGGCCCAACCCAGTGGGTTTGCACATGCAGCCTGTCTTTAACCAAGTGTAGCGCCTGCTGCAGCCGCCCAGGTGGCGTGCACTCCCGGAGCTGATGCGGGATGCCCAGCCCCGAGCTGCCCGGGTTGTGTGTGAAGAGCCCAGGTCCGCAGCCCTTTGCCTGGAGGTTCTTGTTAGGAAGGTCTGGGCAGAACGCGGAGCAACTGCCCAGTTCTGAGACTTGGGTTCGAAGAGCTTTCAGGGACGCTGCATGAAATAATGAAAGTTGTTTCCTTTGAGCCCCTGGGGCAGACGGGCTTTCGGAGGAGCCCAGCCGCTGAGCCCTTGAGGCCTTCTCAATCAGCTTAAAGTGCCTGCTCCTGGTGGGCCTACTGTGTGCTGGGCTGGGAGTGTCTTACATTTTCTTTCCTGACGATCCACTTCTTTTGATCCTTCCTATTCGATTCAGCTGTTCCACTTGCAAAAAGAAGTCCACATTTTTAAAATCTAGAAGTTGCAAAACTCTCTCCAAAGGCCTGAATGTGCCCCGAGCCGGTCCTTGGCTTGTTTCTGGTGGAATGAAACAAAACAGCCAAAGGAGGGAGGGGCAGAGAAGGAAAGAAAACCCGACCCTTGAGTCCAGGCTTCCCAACTGTCTGATCCCCCAGCCCCATGAAGCAAGGGGCCTGGGCTGACTCGCCGTTGAGACCTGACGCTGGTCAGTCAGCGAGGCAGAGTGGCCCTTCGGCCCAGCAGATGGCCGGGCTTTGGAGGGGAGCTCTGCCTCCTGGCTCACAGGAAATGGGGGCCAACATGGCATTCAATGCTGGATTGTTAGGTAATGGTGGGGGGTCAGAGGCCAGGATCTGCTCATTAAAATTTCAGATAGATGACTTGTCCCTTCCTTTCCAGAAGAATTGACCTTTGCAATACTGTTTCCTGTGTGCTATTTTTGTCTAACAGCCTGGGCATTCACAATGAACAGGGCGCTTATTTCTTACCCAAGCGCACATTCAGCTCACCCAGCTTTGAATACCAGCAGATGAAAAATGGAGGCAAATTTTCCAAAGCCCGGGCTTTGCAGGCAGGCAGGCTGGCTCCTGCAGTAAGTACAAGGTCGGCCCCTCGCAGCTCGGCCTGCCGAGGCTGCCGCAGACACAGCCCACAGAACAGCTTTCGTCTGTCCAGGCACAGCTCCCCGGGCTCGCTGCAAAGCAAACAAACACCATCGCCCATGATTAAGATTCTTGGAAATCTTTTTAATTCCATCTCTTGGGGTGATTGAAACTCGTGATCCTCTCAGCCTGGAATAACGTGTGCACTTCCTCTTCATGGATCTTCTCACCAGGAATTCATGCCCTTGCTCCTCAGAAGCCCACTCCCCAGACCCTCCTGAGCAGATGGACACTCCAGCTTGATGCTTCCATCACTGTGCAGCTTTGGGGGGGTCAGGGGTTTATGGGTACTCCGGGCCAGGGGGCACCTGGAAGATCATTCAGGCTAGTTTCTCCGTCCCCCATCTGTGCTCACCCTCGCACTGACCCTCTGACTTCCCCTAACATAGCTACCGTGTTGGGGAACTCCTTACCCCCCAGGGAGCCCACTTTACCCCAAGTGACAGGTAAGAGCCAGTAGGAAGGAGGTGCCCCATGCCAGAGCACAAGCTGCTGAGATGCCCCTCAGAGCTGCCCTCGCCCGTTCTTCCCCCACCCCTGGGTGCAAAGGCAGAGAAGTGTTCACTTTGAGAGACTGACTGGCTAGGTTAAACATCCGTGACTCGGGGGGCTCCCGTGCAGACGCCCCCAGGCTCGCGCGAGGGAGGGCACGGTGACTTCAGGTAAATCCACCTTCCCTCTGGGGCAGCCGGTCTCATCACGCGATGACCTCCCCGTGCGGATCAGGAGACCCCAGATCGCTGAGGGTTGTGCTTTGGGGAGAGGTTGGAGGTGAATAGGCATGAAGTCTGGACAAGAAGGACTTCGTCTGGGCCCCCTGTGTTTCCTTCTATTCTTAACGCAGGCGATCTCAGAAATGAGCACGAACAAGGGCGACCAGACATTCCAAGGCCCCTTCATTCAACAAATGAAGTTTGGTCTCTGTGGGCCAGGCTGGGGCTGCCCCAGGGGCCACGCGAGCTGAGAGGGCAGCACAGAGGCCTCTGGGCTCCTTCCTGGGCTGAGCTCGCTCGCCCCGGGGCCATCAGCCAGGGGGCTGGACACTCCAGCAGCCCGGGGTGGGGGAGTGGGGGAAACTGAGGCACGAAACCGCTGTTTCCAGCCAGCAGCACTGTGAGAGGACCATCTCCGCAGGTCCTCCAGCCCGGTCCAGTCCGCAGCAGCTGGCCGCCCAGGGCAGCCTCAGGAGGAAGCCTCT